ATAGTAACACAGAAAAGAACAGAGAAACGGAAAATATGATTCATTGACATTACTGACATGAGAGTTGTTTAATGTTGTTTTGGAAACAAATTTGGGATCAAGGGTATTAACTAAGGTAGAGTATTTTAAACTGCAAAAACTGCGCTAGTTTTATCAGAAGAAAACAGTATATCTCTGAGCCACAGAAGCAAAGCGAATTTCAGGCTTTCGATTCTCCCATAACTAGTGTGATGAAATGACAATTTGTCCCTTGTTGGATTACTTGAAATAGTGATGTGCTTTCTAGTTCGATTCATTAAGTTGCGTTCAGTTCTAGGAACTGGTTCGTGAACAAACTACTTTATGCCACAATACCACAAAAAATATATGTACACAAACAGAGCAAATATTCCAGTCTGCCAATCGAGATAACGTAAAAACGATTCAATTCACATTTTTTAACCGTTCCAGTGCATTCCACTGATTGCAAATATATTTTCCCATCACTAACATTGTGAGACACTAATTTCAAATGTCAATTCTTCTTTGGTATATTCTCCTTCTCCAACGTTACTGTAGTCCATGTTTTGTTGTTTTAAGCTTGTGTTATTTATGAAAAATGGGTTTTCCGTATAAAAAGTGCTCCCTCCAAGATCTTTCTTGTGCATAATTACATATTACACTAAATACGTGGTTATATTGAGTGTACCATGTACCATCACCGATGGTGCGACTGATACACTGAAATCAAAACAAAAATCTGCAACTGCAATTGAATGTATGAATCTTGAAATCTTAAACAGTTTCGGATCAGGGGTGTCAAAATGTCGTTGAGGGATTGGAAAGACGTGTATGAAGGTGTTGAAACGCAACACCTAACAAAAATTTGACTGAAAAGGCTTATTCATGTAAGGGTTTGAAAGTGCAAGTTTGCAAATGTAGGATAAACTATTAACACACAGCAGGTGATGTCTAGTTAATATAATCAAATATGGATTACAAAAGTTGCAATAAACATGGAGCTTCAGCTAAACTGAAAAAAAGTGGATTTTACTCAGACATCAAGCATTTTTTTTAAATTTTGGCTCAGTTTTATATAATTTGATAATATTTAATAAACTGAAAACATTTCAATGGCAAACTGTCACTTCATATTTTACAGTGTTTTGTTTTGAATACTTTGATGCTATTTGCTGCCAAAAATTTGACGGAGAGATCTTGAGGCTGATTGGGTATATTAGATGGACTGTTTGGTACTCGTACCCTATTGGTGCAGAATAATGGTTTGTTAAATTGTGTAATCGGCCCATAATATATAATATAGCTATGAACATAGTAAAACTATTTTTTATTAGATCTTTTTCTATAAACATACTGTTAATAGCGTCTTAGAGGAAAGGGATCTTCTCCTGCTCGACCCCTAAGCCTGCCACCCCTCCCTGATGGAGAATCGCTCAGGGGGAGATAAACATATTCCTGAATATGAATTCTGTGGCCACCACTGTGACCCCCCTTTGGGTATGTTCATAGTGCAAGGTGCTTACTGCAATGCTTTCTTCGCTACCTCGATGATCGGTTCCTCGGTCTAACCGCGAAGTTTTTACTGGCAAGGAAATTCTCAGCGTGTATTGCATAATTTTAAAATGTGTCACTTACGTTAAAATATATAACAACCTTCTAACGAATACTAATACTTATCATGAATGTAATGCTATATTTAGAAACGAAAATTTGAATCTGGAATGTCGTTCTATTGTTAACAAGCTGCTGATCCTAGTGATACTAGGTACCTATTAGTAATAAGTCATACATATTTTCCCTACATCTGCAGTGGAAACAGAAATATGATAGATTTGCTTTAAGTAGTTTGATATGCGGAGGTCGACGATTCAGCGTATGTTTGGAACCTCCAACGAAGGCATGGAAGTATAGAGTCAACCTGATTGATGCCATTTTCTTAATGTTCTATTATCAACCATCATGTACCCGGGGACTCTCTCAACGGTGGTAAATTAAAAAAAATGTGGTTTAGGAGATTGACTGAACATTCCCTAGACGTATATAATTTCGTCTTACATTTTCTGGTGTTAATTTTTCATGCATTATCATTTTTTATAGATTCTACCTTTTTATGTATCTTTCTCCGTCTTTCTGGCGGTAAGGTTCCTTGGATTCGTTCTTGGAACAGATTGTTAATGTCATCTTACGTGGCCAAAACTCTTGAATAAGAAATTATAAATAAAAATGTTTAGTCGGAACGGTGTATCAGTAATCATGTAACACAGAACATTTTCCGTGTTTTCAACATAGAATTCGGTAACATGCTGATGAGATGCATCTTTACAAAACATTGATCTTAAGAGCCACGGGACAGTCCCAAGCGACCCATTTTATACGTCATTGTATGACAACATAAAGTGTCCGTATGTTGGGTGGAGAATTCAATAGATCATAAACAAAAAACACCTGATTCTCTGTGATCCGAAGCGCCAATTCTTCAGTAAATTAGATGCTTCGATTCCAAATCCAATGTAAGTTTGACGCTAGAACCCATAAGGGCGCTATAATGACAAAGACTCGTTCCCTATATACACCGGTAGCGTAAATTACGAAACCGATAATTTATTTTTTACGTAAAAACGAATTCTTTTCAAATTGTGTGAGATATTTTCATGAATCCCAGCTATAATCCACTATGATTAATAGTATATCTCTCACAGTTGACTCACCAAAACTATTGTTATGTCGATACAGCAGTTGTCTTGGAAGTTGCTAGGAAGCAAAAAGGTTCCCATTCTCATCTCTACGCATTGATATTTAGATGTAATATAATATTGTCCATTTTACAACTGATCCTCAGTCTTTTTAGTACATCCGTTGTTTCTTTTTATCTGAAACGGTTAGTGACACTTTCTTTCCACTAGATGGAAAAATGCGAAATGTTGGCTTTAAACTATTCCATCAGCGTGAGTGGTGGCAAACTGTTATCGCAGGATCAGTTTTTCTATTTTCTACATCATTTGGACCTGCTTCATAAACAACATACTTAGATAGTTACTTTTTTTTGAAAACAATTTATTACAAAAATAGAGTATTACAAAATATAATAACATTCAATTCTCTAAACAGTGCTTCAAAAACACTGGCATCGAGAATAACAATATTCTAAATTTTTACTAATTACAATATTCAACAATATTTAACTACAAATACAATGTGTTATTTGCTGCGAATATAATCTTTTAATTTCTTTACAAATCAGTTAAAGCTTACGATATTTCTGTTTTGAATAATCATTTGTCTTTCCTTCATTTACTTTCATATTTACTGATATTTGCCTGGGATGTCTTGCAATTGAGCATCTATTTTTCCAGTTTGCTTTATTTTTTTCTGAAACAGTTGTTATACTATTTGTATTCAAAATTTATTTATAGGGACATCTGACCAGCACAACATGATCTATCAATATATGAATTTTCTTTAAAATTGACTGGTTGTCAAATCCCATATTATGTTTTGTGCCTGGTACTTAATCAACCATGATCAGATCATCATTAATAGTCAAACTGTATGATTTGTATCGGCAATATTATAATTTGTATTGGCAGATATGCCGAATTTAATTAAACCAATTAAAATTTTAATAACGTCAATTAAAATTTAATTAACCATGTGGCAGCTGATAAGATTTATTGGTTTAATTAAACTCCAATTTATACATCAGTTTACTTAGATCTAGGAAACCAGTTTAATTAAACCAAAACGCAATAATTAAAATTTATTAAACCGCTTACTTAAATTGAGCACGCCAACAATTTTTTTCCTAAAAGATAAGGAGCCTCTGAAACATCATAAACGTTTTAAGTTCGTTAAATGTTTTAGGGACTAGCTCCTCAAACGGTACATTATATACGTATACCCGAAATATAGTTCTGTTACTAAAACAAGTTGTTGACACTCAGATATAATAGAACATTGCCCAAAGATGCCTTAGAATCATCTACTACTTCGGTCTTCCTGATGATATTTTCACACAAGCGTTGTATAGTATTTTGTATCAAAGATGGTTGAAAAGCTCCTCATTATTACTTATATCAAAATATCAGACTGCTAGGAAAACGTCATGATAAAATCAGTAAGTCAGCTTCACATCATGTAAATAATAAATAAATGTTTGAAATTTTGCAAAACATCTGAGATGAATTATATTTTATTTTTAAAAGGTAGTTCAGCTGAAATAATTGTTATCCGTCTAACTATTACTATTGCCAGAAGCGTTAGTAGGTGAAGCATCACGATAGAATCTGTTACTGTGTTTACATCATTACAAATTAGATGCTCCAGAATTTTGTATTTTAGTATCAAAAATGTGTACAATTCTTCAGGTCCTCACTATTGCTTTTATAAAAAATTCAGAATGCTAGCTAGGGAAACGTCATGACAGAATCAGTAAGTCAGCGTTCTATATCATGTAAAAAACGAATATTTGAAATTTTGCAAAACATCTAAGATGAATTAGATGTTATTTTTAAAAAGTATAATTCTTTAGATGCGTTTCTAATGTAACAATATCATTTCAATAACGTTGTTTTACATATGTGAAATATTTTTAAGACCAGCTCCCTTAAACAGTACATAACTTACCTGAAATGCAGTTTTGCTACTAAAACAGCTGATTTCTGATGAAAATAATGATATTCAGATATAGTACAGCATTGACCAAATATGTCTTAGAAGCATCTACTTCTTCGATCACTCTCATAATTTTCTGAAACAAATGTTGTATAGTAATATTGTATTAAAGATGATTGAAAAGCTCCTCATTATTATTTTTACCAAAATATCAGACTGCTAGGGAAAGGTCATGATAGAATCAGTAAGTCAGCGTTCTACATCATGTAAGAATGAATGTTTGAAATTTTTAAAAACATCTAGGAAAAATTAGACTCTATTTTTAGGCAGTATACATTTTTGTGTGCAATATTTTTGGGACTAGCTCCTTCAAACAGTACATAACTTACCTAAAATACAGTCCTGTTACTAAAACACTGATGTCTGATGTATTGATACTCAATTATCATAGAACATAGCCCAAAGATGTCTTAAAAGCAGCTAGTTCTTCGATCTCTCTCATCATGTTCTGAAAGAAATGTTGAATAGTATTCTATATTAAAGATGATTTAAAAGCTCCTCATTATTGTTTTTATCAAAACATCAGACTGCTAGGGAAACGTCATGATAGGATCAGTAAGTAAGGCCCGTATCGTCAGTCGTCCCTACAATTGTAGGGCGCGTTTATGGCCTCCTTGATTGTCAGACTCCTTTCTCTCCTTCAAAAATTTCTAGATTACACTTGTCCCGTGTCAGCGTCAGCGCTTTCCTATTGTGAAGATATGTTTACTTTTTAAATTGTAGGAAATTGCAGGCTGATAAAACATGATATTACTCAAAAGCAAGCACAATTTGATGCAAATAGATGTTTGTGACATAACCTCAAAATAGAGTGCTGACACGGAGAAGTAGAAAACTATGACAATCAAGGAGGCCATAAAAGCGCCCTACAATTGTAGGGACGACTGACGATATGGGCCTAAGTGTTCTACACCATGTAAAAGTGAATGTTTGAAATTTTCAAAAACATCTAAGATGAAAAAGATTTTATTTTTAAAAAGTAGCTCGAGTGTAATTATTGCCATACTCATTAACTCAGGTCATGTAAAGTATTCATATGATAGAGTGCAAAATATACGTTGAACGGTCAGAAAAATATTTATACCCTTATTCGTCAAGATCTAAAATATTTGTAAGGTTTATAATAATCTGATGTCATCAAAATGTGTATGCCGGGTAGTATCAGAATATGTCAGTTTCTCCTATACAAATAGATCCCAAGAGAGAATGCCACAAATTCATTATTAGGGAGATACAGAGCCGTAAATGCAGCTACTGGATATCGTTTTTTTCAAATAAAAAATGTTAGCAATATTGCGCTAGTGCGCCCCTAACGTTATAAGTGAGTCAATGGTTTTCCGCGTACACCACCAAATCAAACACCAGTTGTTTAATGAGCTGACAGAATTTCGATTAATTATACAGTGTCGTTCAAAAGGTACCCAAGAGAAACCGAACGCCAGTTTTTAGTTTCTACATCATCTCAAACATTTATCATGCTTGCGAATAACCAAAATTTTAGCAGATCAATTTTTTCAAATGTGCTTACCTAGCATAGTTCCCAAACTGGTTGATTCAACTTTTCAACAATTAGTGAGTCAATCTTCTGAAGCTAGAGCCTATATGAACTCTCCGTTAGATTCCCATAGACGATCTATATTTGTATTTCTATTTATCGTATTCAACAGCTATCTCTTTTAGTTACCTGAATTCTTGGAAATGGTACAATAGATGATTTTTTAAAGAGTGATGTCCTTGGCAAAGCTTGTACCCCTTGGCGGTATAAGGAGCTCAAAGACTTATATCGTGTTGAATACTCATGCATCCACAGGCGGCTCATAAGTATCCGTACACGATGACGAATATGGTTTATAATATGCTTCACCTCTTACAATAACCCGCTCAAAACGTTTTTATGAAAATGAGTAGTAGACACTGAAACGAACGATTTTTATTATTTTAGCAGTAAGGTTGTGACAAAACTTCATCAAAATCCGACAGGTGCTTCTTGAGTTATACAGGGGATAATGATTAGCGGAAAAACAGACAAACCGACGGAAATGGGTAACATGGTTCTTAATTATGTACATGTCATATAACATAAAAAGAAAGAATATCTCAATTTCATAATTTGGCAAAACCTTCACTGAGTAAGAATATCTACAAAAATTCTTGTTCAAAATATCAAAATATATGTTACCTATGATACAGAACAATTCATCATATTTCCAGTTTTATTCCTTATTTCGTTGTTTCCGTCTCTGGATTTCTTTGTCAACCTAAAACGTGCAGTATTTGTATTTTTGTTAGATAAAAAGGCTATTGTCAATTTTTATACCTATTATCGCTTATTTGCTCTTTA